AGTGTTAACCTTTTCGTCCACATTTAAGTTCATACTACCGAACCGATTTTAAAAAATCAAAAACTATTCGAAAGATATTAGTTGGGAATGATACTGATTAGTTTTAGGTGAAAATATACCGAGCCGTTCTTTTGTTATTAACTGTGGAAACAAAAATTCAAGCCGTTTTTCATTGAACTTTTTTTGGCGATAGATATCATGGTCTTATAGAACTTACCGAAATATTACGGCCTTACGACAAGTAGTTTAATTTTAAAAATTCATCAAAATTTCAGAAAATGAGTAGTGTTTTTGACGTTTGTTAAAATTATAATTAGACGATTTACTTGGTATAACGATAACGATTAATGAACATACTAAACCATTAACGTCCTACGGAAACTGGTTCAATTATAAAATTTATTGATTTTTGAAAAGTTGCTTTTAGAAAATACTCCGAGTTTAACGTGTTTGTTCGTTTTCAATTATGTGTAATAAATCCACTCGGAATACTTTTAATCACTCATAAATTAATTTATTTTTTATTGATTAAGTCGATTATTTTCACATATCGGAAAGTTCATGTAACTTGCTTCAAGGCAAAATACCAATACAAACTAGTTAGAAATTATTTTAATGCACATTAAAACATATATGCATTAAATTTTATTATCACAAATATATATGTGGTCGTTTCTACTATTTATATCTCTATCTAAAAAGAGCCATATATTTACCATTATGTAATAAAAGCACCCTATTCAAAATATAATTAGTTTTGTCGTTAAAAAGCCGTAAAACACCCCTAAATCATTAACTACAAAGAATTCTAATTTAATTCCTCTATCTCACATAACTGACCTTTAATCGAAGACTCATAATTTTTTCCTTGCTCAGTATCTCCCTTCGTTGTTCTTCCATAAAAATATTTTTCATGACTTCCTCCTCATCTTCTGAAAGCTCCCGCATACGTTCACGATCTTCCCATAGTTCTTCGTCGCTCACTGGTCCAGAAGTGGGGCATCGAGGAAGGGACATAGGAATGGTTAATACTTCCTCCTAAGAACATTAATTTGAGAAATTATTTTAATGGATTTTGAAGAGTACTATAAAGGTTCATTTACTGATTTTTCAAAAAAGGTACATTTTTTAACTCACGTAACATTCTTTATATACAAGAATTAAATGAACTGTTATAATGCAACTACATTTTATTAAAAAAATATAAGCAATATGGCTGGAGAGAGATAAATAGATTTTTTATATTTATATCTAATAATCCATATGCTGCTATGTCTTACCGGTTGGTTGAGCAAGTATTTCGTGATCTTGGTGTTGCACTGTAGATAAAGGTAAACGTTCCCAATAAATTCTTGGCTCCGGCTGGCCTTCTGCTCTGCAAGGCAATGTCACGTCGCCACCAGGGTCGACTGTTACGTCATTTGGCAGCTCGATTAACTTGGATAATGCTGAAATAAAAAGAACAATACTATATAAAACAAATATATGAAAGTTTAAAATTATTTTCATATGGCTGTGTAATGAATCTATTCTTTACTTTAAAGTTTAATAGAGAATTTTCGCTGAATGATGTAGATGATAACTTGCAAAATATTGTAAGTATGGCATCTGGCCTTATGATGTATATCAAGAGCCAATAAATAAAAACAAACATGCAAAATATTTTTTTACCTCTTTATATGTACATATATTATCATAATACTTACAATATACACTCAGTCGTGCACTGTTCGCAATGTGTCCTCCTTCATTAGTTGCTTCGCAAGCATATTGTCCTTGGTCCTCCGGTCTCGTGTCTTTTATCACAAGCGTTTGATCAGGCAAAATAGTGTAACGACCTTCAGGTAAAGGTTGACCTCCGGCTCTACGCCAGGAGACTTCGGGAGCAGGATCACCCGTAAACCTGATAATAGGAAATCTTATGTACAAATGAAGCGCAAAATGTGTTGGTAAGCGCATAACTCAACAGCGCCTGGACCAATTTGGCCAATTCTTTTTTTAAAATGTTCGTTGAAGTCCAAGGATGATTCTTATGGCGGGAAAATATCGAATAATTGCCGGGAAAACCCTAAAAACAGCCTTTTTCTTTTTATCATACAAACGTTTTTTAACTGAAACGTAGAAACAATTTGAGCTTTATTGCTATCGTATAAACCACTCACTGTATATTCCTTCTAAACGATTATTCGGATGTTGATAAATTTTTCTAAAGTTTGTTGAGGAAATTTTCTAGGAGAATGAAAAATGAAATGTCTACATTATTATTGCCGAAAAGCAGCTGAGATGTGTCAGGTGTATGGCAGATTGAATGATACACACATGAAAAAAATAATTCACTTAAAATATGAAATAAGTATTAATCAGGGCCGGTCCCACGTTTAATGCGATGCATGCGAAAATACGAGCGCACGCCTTAGGGGGGCGCCAACACAAGATTCGGATATTAAATTTTCAATATAGTTTTTTTTTTCAATGTATAATTTTTTTGCATCTTTCACTAATCTTTTCACAATATTTTTACAATTCGTAAAATTTTCACTTTATAACAACAAATGGGAAAGTAAAGATGAATACATACATTCCGGCCCTCACGATATCGATTAGGAGAGAAGTTTAAGATGCAATTTTGGATATCTTAAATAATAAAAAATTAAATTAATTTTAACCAACATAAAGTACCAGTGTTATGTTATGGTTATGGTTATGTTATACCGTTTAACAGATTTCAATCCCCAATATAGTGTGAGAATTTTGACTCATCATTTTATTTAAAGCAGTTTTACATTTAACATCGCTCAAAATATAAATGTATATGCATTTTGGCGTAAAGAGAAATTTAAAAAACAATAATTATTATTTTTAGGTAAACGGTAAATATTAGTATATTATATTAAAAAAAATGTAGACAACGTCTGTCGGGTCATCTAGTATGAAATAAATAAATTCAATTGTGGAGACAACTATGGGGATTAGATTGCAAATCAAGCGTGATAAAAGATAAAAGATGCCAGAATAAATTACTGAGAGAAAACTTGGAATGAAATTAAATACAAACATTTTTAAACAATTACAAAAGCCGCCTCGAGGATCATCCAAACCCAAGCCAGGGCAAGATTGCAAAAAGAAAGTTCATGTTACACAACATACGTCAATTTAAAAAAATCTCTCACAATCTCTATTCGTTATCCATTTCCAGGATAGATGTAAAAATAACTGCATAATATTTAAAAAAAAATGGCATCTGTAGAATTTAGTCTTGTTTGATTTAGGCTAGTAATTGGTCCGAAAAATTTTACTTTGTAAATAAAATTACTTATTACATGATGATGATGATAATAAATAATTTTATCAACTACAAATCTACATCTCTTCGATTCAAGACCGTACTATTTCTACTTAATAAAATTATGCTCTGAATTAATTACTTGGCACTGGAATTCCGCCGTAGCTCCTCGTACTGCCTCACGATCCTGTGGTGCCCGCAACACACGCGGCGGCGTCACCACCTTCAGTGTGGCCGCGTCTGTTTGCCGCACACCAGCCATGTTCTGAGCAGCGCAGCGATACGACCCAGAGTCGGACGAACGGGTTTCGGAAATCAGCAAACCACCACCGTCGACCAGCGACAATCTGTAAGCAGAGATAAAATAATAAATGAATTAATATATAGAGAGTGAATTCAAATAACTCTCTTAATGAATAGAATTATAATTAAATATAGAAAAAATGGCTGACGCCCAAATAGCATTTTACAATTTATATTATTGTCAGGCAGCAGTGACAACGATTTTCACTTGGAAATATAGATAGTAATATGTTTCCAAGTGAAAATAGCCCTCACCCGGCATTGCTGCACCAATTAAATGTCAGCCCTATTAGATCAATTCTAATAACAAAATCATCAAATATGGATGGATTAACCATTGGGTTACTATCTTAAAAAAAACGAAGTAAGGAGAGCCCAACAGCTCATAGGACGTAAGGTTCTGATTGCTGTTAAAAATATAATAAAAAAAAACATTTTTTGATACTTCCAGTGTTTTAGTATAGCAAAGAAGTGTAAATCAATGTATAATCGATATAAAGAAAAAAATGCATATAGTTTCGTACAGAGTGAAACATTGAGATTGAGTGATATTCCCAGCAATGGTTTATTTGTCTTTTCTCTATAATTATCATTATTATGAAAAATAATGTACTCAATTTGATAAATTGAGTATATATATTTTTTATAAGTTGAGTGTATTATTAATTATAAAAATAAAAAATGATCAAAATGTATGTATGTAGTAAATTCAAATAATGAATGGATGCTCAATTAATAATGGGCTACTTCATAGAATAATGGACTACGATACATATATATATATATATATATATATATATATATATATATATATATATATATATATATAATGATTGACATTAATTAATATACATCATAATTATACACTTCTATTCAATTAAATCATTCTGTTACTCTTTGAATGATATTTTTTCCTTTATCGAAAATCTTTAGAACTAAACAAAGATTATTATTTTTTGATTATTAGTCGAGTGATAAAAGTTTGATAATAAACTTTGGTAAAACTAATATTATTCTGGTTTTTCTGACTGTCCGTCTGTGTGTGTCAGTGTTCTTAGCATTCAAAAACTACCATACGCTGTGAAAATTTAGGAAACTATTAGGTACGCCTCTGGTTTTCGCATATTTTTATTAAAACCAAGTTGTAAAAGTTGGCCACTTCTAATACTTTTATTTTATTAAATTTGACCGATATTTATTTTCCTTGTAATGCGCGATTAAAACCCCAATTTTTTACCTTTTTAGCACAAACGAATCATTTTTCGTTTTGCTTTCAGTCACTAAATTTTTTTGACTGAATTTCGATCAAGATTTTTTGAGATTATAGAAATAATTAAATTTCACATAAAAAACAGTTCAGTTTAACCCTTTCGACTCAGATGCCGCCACTCCGGCAGCAAAATTCATATAAATGTAAGAATTCGCGATGCGCGATTAAAATCCCTAATTTTTTACCCTTTTAGCACAAACGAATATTTTGTAATCATTTTTCGTTTTGCTTTCAGTCAGAAGAATTTTTTGACTGTGTTTCGATCAAGATTTTTTGAGATTATAGAAATACTTAAATTTTACTTGAAAAACAGTTCAATTTAACCCTTTCGACTCGGATGCCGCCACTCCGACGGCAAAATTCATATAAATCTCAGAATTCGCGAGTGGAAAGTGTTAATTATGGGCTGTTTACTTATAGCACTTTCTGGAATAATTTGAAACAATTTATTTTATTTATTTTATTTAATTTTTTATATTGTGGGACAAAAAGTACATACAAACGATAGTTTTCACTCTTTCACAAATTACTATTTTGGTTGTCCAATCATTTTTAATTTTTTGTGGTTGATTTTCACTGAATTTTGAGTAGGAATATTTTCATATTGCGGAATTAAAAATATAATCTATATATAAAATTTAATTTATATATATAATTTAGTCTGATATATACATATATATTACCTTTTTCCTGCAAAATCTAGCGGTTTGCCATCTTTCGTCCATAGTACGGATGGTTCCGGAACACCACGTGGGGGCAGACACGGCAACAACGCCTGTCCGCCGGATACCGCAACCAGGTCTTTGGGAACAACGCGGAAATCATCACGCAGAACTGAAATAGAAATGAATTTCGATTAAACACCCACATTCATATATAAATATATTTATCTATGGATGGTCCATTTATATCTGAAAACTCTTCTTGATAGATCTATAACCATATAACTAAATGTTTCTATTTAACTAAAATATTTTAGAGGCTAATAAAAAGCCAGTAAAAATCTTTGATTTGCAGTTGGATTTGTTTCTTTTTTACATTCAATGTGTATTCTCCATGTCAATTTCGGAATGCCTAGATAATTGACAGAATTGAATAGTGAAATTATTGAATTGTTCATGATGATAGGTGGACTGTTGTGATGTTTTAGAAAAGCAATTATGTGATGAGATTTTTCGATATTGATTTTGATATTCCATTCTAAAATCCATTTTTCGAGACTAGATAAATAATTTTGTAACTGACAAGTTGCTGTTCTAATATCGGAATCGCATGAAATTATAGCTATGTCATCGGCAAAAGTGCATATGGTTAGAAGATCATCTGTGGGCATATCGCTTGTAAAAAGAAGATAAAGTACTGGGCTTAGCACACTGCCCTGTGGTACCCCGCATTCTATATTTCTAATGCTCGAAGTCACATCTTTAATTTTGATTCTAAATTTTATATTAAGCAAATATGAGCTTAAGATATTGAAGTAATTTTGACATGATACCAGAAACGTTTTCAAGTGCTTCAATATGATAATAGCCTTATGGCGTCAAGTTCCTTTGAAAACTATATTGCACGCTGAATACTCGTTTTCATTACTTTTATTGTATTATATGAAAGTTCATACATACACGAAATTTCTAATCATTTATAATAACGTTCAATTACTTAAATTACATATCTTCTTGCCAAATATACTATTAAATTATGATACAGTTATCTATAAATTGATATCACCTATAGATACGGTATGCGCTTTGCTATAATACGTTTAATACGGTACTAGCAATCCATAGATAAAAGTAATCCTTTGCAGCTTGTAGACGTCATGCAATTTGTTTGCTAAGAGTATTACAGAAATAGTTCGAGAATAATATTTGTAACGATAGAGTTTATCCTATATTTATAGCGAATAAATTTTATTGCACTATTGTTAAAACATAAGTAATAGATATGGTAAAGCAGCGTACATTGGATTTACATGAATAATAAATATTATTAAATGGAACGATAGGTTTTAGTATTTTTACGCGATTGGACGCGATACATTTATATCCTGTTAAAAAATTAATTACAGAGAGTTTGTAATAAAATTCGAAATTACATGAAAGGACGTTTATATTCATATAAATATAATTAACTACAGTTACATCTCTACTTTTGTGGGATAAATTACTTAACTATAGTTATTAAACTGTTCATTATGAATTCACTTATATCCATTTTCTTAAGCTTTAGTTATGGTTTTAAAATACTATTTTCAATGAAGAGTGTTTATAAAATCACCGACACTAAAGGGGAAAAAGTAATCATTTTTGGAAAAAGGGAAAAAGGAGGGTACCTGACACAGTCATAATATCGTGATAAAACACCGTTATGTGGTGCATTACATATTCAGTGTGTTTTCTTCGATTCACGCACAGTTTCGAAGTCCTAAGTCAAGTTGAATAAAGTAATAGTGAGGGAGCTTTATCATATATTCTGTACATCTCTAAAATCAAATTTCGAGATACTTTCATTTTTCTGTTTCCTAAATAATAAAGTGAGAACATTATAGCTTTTCTAGATCCTTGAAAATTTATAATACATAATATTCGGTCACATTATTTCAGGTAGTTTTTTGAGACCTACGTCTTAAAGAAACTAAATCATACTTAAGGTACGATAATCGAGCATAAGAACTCCTTCTACTGATCGACATTTGAAATGATAACTATCTAATATATCACCAAACCTCAAAACTATCTGAGAGTAAATGCAACAGTTACTTAGTTGGCAACCTGTTTAATATGATGTTTTTTTTTCATAATTAACTAATTTATTTCTAATGTACAGATCTTTGTTAGAAATATAACTTGCTTCTGACAAAGTTCCATTTGGAAAGAAAACAGTTATTTTGTAAATAATAATAAAATTTAATATTGAATAAAATCTATATAACATAACTTTATAAATTTACCACTGATGGCATTTTATAGAATTTTTGCTTTTAAGGGTCACCATTCCTATTCTTATGACTCTTCATTTCCATGTCAACTCTTCGTCTATATCCAAGTAATGTAAGGCAACTGTAAGCGTAAAACTTAACCCTTATGCAAATGCATAAGTTTGGTTTCATGTCTTCTTGTTTTAACCGACGGATTATAATTCATTCGGGGGCGTATGCGGAGAACTCTATAAATAATTACATACCAAGAGTAATTAGTTTGGACAGAATGAGCACGCACATTTTTGGGCCTGAGTATGAAACACATTAAAAACTCCAATTTTACTTAATGAATATTTGAATAGGTCTATGCTGCGGAATGAAAACATTATAATCTCATTTATGTGGAAACTTATATGAACATATTTATTATTCATAGTTTGTAATTAATTTCTAATCTCTCGCGGTCTATTTAATAATTATTATATACATTCAATATTACCTAAGATGTTTGTTAATGGATTTTAAAATAACGCGATAAAATTTACAATATTATTATAAAAACACTAATAAAAAATCGAAACAGATATAAAGCTGGGAGAACAATATATTCCAAAGAACAATAAAATTCTTCATGAATAAATCCCATTTGCAAATAAGACTGAATGTTATACTTCAGGGTTATATTCAGAAATATATTTTGCTAATTTTATTGAATAAGATTGATTTAATTTTAATACAATTTCTTGCAGTATGATAATTTTTAAATTCTATTTAAGAAAAGGATAATGTCTTTGGTTACTTCAGGCTATTTGCTTAAAATACCTGAATTAATATTGACGTAAAAATGTAATGATATGTATTTAATAATCTGCTTTAAAATCACATTATTGATCTTCGTTATAAAGTAATGATCTTTATAAATTGATTTATTTGTTGCATAACTCTTATTTTAATTCAAAAATTTTTTAATGATTTTCTTGCTTCCTATAGATTTGCCATAAATTTTTAGTGCAAGCTTTAATTGTATTACAAAGGATTGCAAGTTAAATTTTTTACTGAATTGCCAATATTTGACCAGAGTCTTTTGTATTTAACAAGATACCCTCCGGGGTCGGGGGTATGGATGTGCATAAATGTACCTGTGTGAATCTAGCAAAACAATAAGAAAAAATACATGTAATTCAAGATCAATATATATCTCAAACGAAAAATTCTTACACACATTCTGCTAAATAATTACTAAAACTATAGCCAAAACGTCCAAAATTTACCCCTCTTGAGTTATTACATACCGACATCAAAATCAAAATTACACACAAATGTATATATTCATATAACCATTACTCATTTGTCTATCCTCAAACAAAGAATAAAATTTTACTCCACCATACAAATCCAGCATTAAATTTCACTTCATCAAGTTTCGCCCATTAAAAGCTCGAACATTACGCGGGTCATTACACGGAATTACATAACTAAACCTGATACTATAGAATAGTTTGACATAGTTTGGTTCCCCACAAAACAAAATTCACTGCCTATAAAATGCACAAATTCTGGAAACCCCTCGTTGAACCAAATGTTCTAAGAAAATGGAGTCGTACATTAGAATAATACGCCAGTTATGCACGTAGATGTAATTCGGGAGAGCTACCCTCTCGGCCGAGGGTGGTAGTCTAATGCATTCATAATTACACTGGAATGTACGCGCTTCTGTATAATCAATAGTTTGGGATCAGATTTCAGTCGGTCTCCTATAACATTCGCACGTGTTATCACGTAACACGTACAGAGTTGTTAATTAATTCGTTGCAATAATGGAATCACCAAAATAAATGATCCTTAGTGGTAAAAAGTCATTATTTGCTTTGCTGTGCTTTAGCAAAATAGTAGAATTCAGGTGGAAAATATATATGAAAATATGAACGCCAGCTGCTCTTGCTGCCACATCATATTTTTGGTGGTGTCCACACCATCATTTTGTGGTAAATAGGGTTAATTGACCTTACATTTGATTTTGAGTTTTGAAAAATATAAGATTATATATTATATTTTGGATTCTACTTTGTGTTCATTAGGCTTTACAAAATGACAATATCTTGTATTCTACTACTTTAAGGGGCGTCCATTAATCACGTGAGGTTTTTAGGGAAAGGGGGGTTTGGCCAAAAATTACGAAATGATTCGATGCACCTCGATGAGGACTATCGTTTGTCAGTTTTGTGCGACGATCGACCAAGCCGTTTCTTTATAAATAGCAGAAAAGTGAAAAACTTTTCGCCCAAGTTTTAGCCCGCAATTCTGAATCGATTTTGAAAATTCAAAAAACCGTTCGAAAGATATTAGTTGGGAATCGACCTGATTAGTTTTTGGTAGAGATCGGCCGGGCCGTTTCCTTGTAATAAAGTGTTAAATTTTTTTTTGACGATTTTTATTATTTTTTTGACATGGGGAGGGAGGGGTATAGTAAGATATTACGTGTATTTGTTTGTTATTTGATTTTTAAAAAAAAATCCAAACATTTTCAAATTTTTAGAAGTCCCAAAATCCTTAAAAAATCTTAGAGCATGATTTTTAATGATCATTATATGAGCCGACACCAATTCTTTCAATTCCAATGCAGACTTTAATAGAATTTTATTACTATTTGACCTTCGTGTTCCTAAGTTTATATGATGATAAAATAGATATAAAAACCAAATATGATTTTTAAATCATGTTCAACTCTTGCACATATATAGAGTCTGTTAAATTGAATACCTCGTTCCATGTTTTTTATTCTTTTCTATCGAGTTGTAAAGTTACCTACATTTTTTTCAAACGAATAAGTAGTTAAATTAGAATTAATACCTCGTTCTTTGATATTCCTGAACTAGAGTATTTGATTTCAAAGGTTGACTCATCAATTAATATA